CGGGACGGGTTGTGGGGGTGGGGAGGAGGGTGGCTGCGGCTCCAGCCTGGCTCAGGGAGCAGTCAGGCCCCAGGGGATCCGAAGGAAGCTAGTAATGGGCCAGGTCATCGAGGAGGTTCCACTCCTCCAGGGCAGACTCAGCCTCCACCACAGCGACAAGATTTTTTCCCTTCCGGAGACCCCCCCCCCGAGGGTGGAGAATCCAGGTCCTGGTGGTCCCAACACCCCACGCCTGAGAAGTCAACAGAATCAAGGACTCCCCTTTGGGTGGGAGAGGGGCCCAACTTCTTGTCTGTAAGTCAGGATTAGAAGCCATAATTGAATCCAATTCATTTGTTCGACTTGAATGGGGGCACTAGGAGCACAGAGGCCGTGCCTAGCCCAGACTTTGGCTGAAGGGACACTTTCCTAGAAGAGGTCACATTTAAGTAGAGACTGGGTAAGTGGGAATTAGCTGTGGAAAATGCCCAAAGGCATTCCAGGACAAGGAACTGCCAGAGCCCAGAAGACCACACTAGTGGATGCCCCCAGCACTAAGCCCTGTGTGTGTGTGCGTTGTCTCTTTAACCCCCACAAATACCCTCTGAGTCATGTGGTGGAGGACTGAGGCACAGGGAGAGTCAGAGCTGGTCTGAGCTGGTGATAGTAGCCGTGGAGGTTAAGCCCAGACCATCTGCCTCCAGAGTCCGTGGTAACTATCAGGATTTAGGGTGGGTGTTGAGTAGTCCCTTTGAGCCAGCAGGCCTGTCACCAGAAGGCCACCTGGGCAGGGTCCCAGCTCAGCTCCTTAGCTCCTCCAGGTGGGACTCTTGGCTGCCCCCCCTCAGGTCCATCCCCTCCCCTGCCACTGCTGCCCTCTAGGGGCTGAAGTTTGCTTTTCCTCCCTGATCACAGGGATTGCTAGGGGTCTGAAGGAGGTCTTCCCTGCTCCTGTTCCTGGCCTCCTGTTCTTGTTGTCTTCACAGTGGGAAGAGCCCTGGGTCAGCATATGAGGTTTCACTCCAGCCCTATTGTTTCTGTGCTCTGTGGCCCAGTACGAGTCTCGGCTCTCCTGTGTCCCACTTTGTGAAAAGGGACTGTGGACCAGATGGCATCCAGGGTGCCCCTCGCTGGACAATCTGAGATCCAGGAGGTGGAGGAGGGAGTCACTCCTCCAGGATTGCTCAGAGCCACCAGTCTTCATGCCTCAGTGTTTGCCCCTGGAGAGCAGGATCATAGAGCTGGAATTCCTTTTGAGGGAATGTAGTCCTAAGCCATGGTAGGAATACGTGCTTCGGTGTGTGTTTGCATGCTCCCAGTGACAGGGAGCTCACCTCATCTTCGGGGGAATCTTCCAGGACACCGGAAATCTTGGTAACTGACTCTGCAGTTCGAGGAGGTGAAGGAGGAGGCCCAGAGATAGGCAGACAGCAGAAGAGGAAACGAGGGTCCACAGGCACAGTGGGACTTGCCAAAGGTCACCAGCAAACTGACCTGCAAGGGTCCATAAGGAAGGTCACCAGGGTGACAGCGTGGCAGGCACTGGTGCAGCCTCCTCTTTGGTCCCTGCAGGAGCTGGAGCTAGTGGAGACCTTGCTGAAGAGCAGACCAGAGGAGCCGGAGGGCTGCTGGGAGGCACACAGCGTTGGGGCTGGGGGCCCACGGGGCAGCTCAGGCCGCCAGGAGCGCAGCCGGCTCCCCTGGGAAGACACAGCTGCCACTGAGGAAGATGCCTCCAAGTTGACTGCACTGCGGCTACGCCTGGATGAGTCCCAGAAGGTGCTGCTCAAGGAGCGAGAGTGAGTCTCAGAGGACAGGCAGGAGGCTGGGGCACCCTCAGAACTCCAGAATGAAAACCAGTGTCAACACTTGGTGACAAACACAAGACTTGCCAGAGTACATGTGCTACCCCATGCAAGCTTTTTGATTTTTGGATGTTTTCTTTTTCTGTACTGGGTACTGAACCCAGACCTTCACAATGAATTACATCCCCAGCCTGTTTTTTAATTTGTTACTTTGAGACAGGGTCTCACTAAGTCTCTAAATTGCTCAGGATGGACTCAAACCTGCAATCCTCCTGCCTCAGCCTCCTAAGTACTCAGATTATAGGTATTGCTGCCACACCCAAAGCAAGATTTTTTTTTTTTAAATTTGCTCTCCTAATATGTCCAGAATCTGCTCTGGGACAGGTGCTAGCTCTTTCATGGGGCTTTTATTCTGGCAAAGGAGGGTGTAGAGGGCAAAGGTAAAAGCAGGGGAGTGGACAGGGGAGCTGGAGGATCAGGGGTTGGAAGTGCTGGGTTTAGCAAAGAGGTAGTTGAGTACATAAATGAGTCTCAGTCTGGAGGTCAAGACAGGAGTGGCTGGAGGTAAAATGTGGGAGTCATCAACCAACAGATAATACGGAAAACCAGGAGGCAGTGAGGACGGAGGATGGAGCCCTGGTGTCAGCCGGGTTTGGAGGTTGGCTAGAGGCAGGGGGTGGGGGAGTAGGGAGCCAGTTCCAGGGAATGGGCAGTCAAGGGAAATTGTTTCATGGCAGACAGAGTGGTCAGCAGGTCAAGTGAAAAGAAGGCTAAGCACTGACCACTGGACCGATGACGCAGAAGTCACCAGTGACCTTGGTTGGGCGGTTCAGAGGCCACAGTCTGATGCTATTGAATATTCTGCAGCTGTGTTGAGCAGGAACTACCCAGTCTAATCTAACCACACATGATTTTATTTTTAAAAACGAACACAGGGACTGGAGCTGTGCCTGGCAATAGAGGGCTTCCCTAGTGTGCATAGGCCCTGGGTCTGATCCCCAGCTCTGCAAAAAATAGCAAAATGATGCCCTTGTGAAGGTGAAGGTCAGGGTGATACTTCTCTGGCCAAGGAGCACCATGGATGGGCAGCAAACCACCACCAGAGGCCGGAAGGAAGGGGAAATGGAACATGGAACAGGTTCTTTCTCATAGCTGAGAGAGTACATTTTTGCTATTTGAGCAAAAAAAAAAAAAAAATCAACCTAATGCACTGAAATAAAAGTATTTGCCTGTCCTTCCCTGTCCTCTCCTCAGGGACAAACTGGCACTAAGCAGGAACATTGAGAGGCTGGAGGGGGAACTGAGCCAGTGGAAGATCAAGTACGAGGAGCTGAGCAAGACCAAGCAGGAGATGCTCAAGCAAGTGAGTCTGAGGACAGGCGCTTTCTAGAAGTGGCAGGAGCACACTGCTAAATTTAAGTGGTGGGGATGGGAGAGGATGGAATTCATTCAGTGGTTCTGTGTGCTGGGGTGAGCAGGATCCCTGCCTTCAGGAGCCTATTTTGTAGAGGCTGGGAGCAGGCAAATGAAAGTGACCAGGGAGGAAAATCCAAGGAGTCCCAGAGAAGCAGACAGAGAGAGATGGGGTGGTAGGCCAGAGAAGGCCTCAAAGGAGGTGACATTTGACCTAGAGGAGTGAGAAGAAGCCATCTTTGAGAAGGTATTATAGGAGCAGGGTGTTCACAGCAAATGCAAAGGTCCTGAGGCAGGAGCAGACCTCACATATGCTGGACACGGAGATGGGCACTGTGGCTGTAATGAGTGAGAGATGGGGCTGGATCTCTCAGGGCCTGTGACCAGGTAGAGAGTCTTGAGCGTGACATGCCTTGGGTACCTGCTTTGTGTCAGATGTCATTGAAGCCTTGTGGCAGTCAGGAGATCAGGGTCCTCACATCCTAATCTTACAGATGAGGAAACAGGCCCCAGAGAGGGGAGTCCTCTGGGCATGGAGGGCTGGCTGCCAATTCTGTCTCCTGTGCCAGCCCATATGGCCACCAGGGGGCGCAGCCACCCAGGGAAAGCCCAGCTGGATTGGTTGGGAGTCCAAGTGCAAGCACCAGACACCTGAGAGCTGAACCAGTTCTGGAAGAGGCCAGAGATTGCTCTTCCACTAGAACCTCCCTGAGTCATCCATCGTCTTCAGGGACAGGTTGCTGGGACCCAGCTCTTTAATCTTTTCAAGCTGTGAAGTGTAATCATTTGAAGAAAAGTGAATGAAACACAAATACACACCTCAGCAGAAAATCATCTCTGTCTTATACCTGACATCTTACCTCCACACTCTGTTTTGAAGATTCACTCACGTGGCCAGCTGCATGGAGCAACAGCTCACTGGGTTATTTTAAAAGCATCCTAGGTAGCCGGGCTTGGTGGCGCATGCCTGTAATCCCAGCACTCGGGAGGCTGAGGCAGGAGGATCGCTGTGAGTTCAAGACCAGCCTAGGCTACATAGTGAGTTTCAGGTCAGTCTCAACTACATAGTGAGACCCTGTCTTAAAAAAAAAAAAAGCATCCTAGAGCTGGGGATTTAGCTCATTGGTTCCAACACCTGCTTCACAAGCACAAGGACCCGAGTTCAATCCCTGGTACCAAAAAAAAAAAAAAAGCATCCTGAGCAGTTTCAAAGCACCAGCTGCAGAACAGTCCTTAGCTCAGGGGTACAGCAGACAGGGCTCCTCTATCAAGGCCCTGCAGGACACAAAGATGCCAGACAGACATGCCCCCTGCCTCCCAGCTCACATTCTAGTGGGCAGAGGGATGAGCACAGGAGAGGCCACCCTGGGAGGAGGCATTTATCTGATGGCCTCAGTCCTGCAGGTTACCTGCGGATGTTCCAAGCCAAGAGAACCACCTGTGCAGAGGCCCCGTAGTTTGCAAGAACTTGGTGTGTATACCCAATAGAAAGGGATCCACATAGCCTGGAGCACAGGGAAAGAGATAGAGGATGAGGAAAACTAGACAGGAATCTGAACGTGCAGGGCTTGGTGAGACCATAGGGGTTGGGTTTTATTCCAAGGCACCTGGGAGCCATCAGAGGGGTTTGGTGTTGGGGGAGATACAGATTGGATTTATTTCTTACAGAAGCTCATTCTGAGTTGCGGTTGTGCTGACAGGGACAAGAGTAGACATGGTGAGGGGAGCTAGATGTGGACGAGGAGGAAGGTGAAAGACATCTGAGGCAGCAGAGTGGCCACAGTCAGGGTCTGCTTTGGACCCTGGGTGCCCCACGCCCTGCACCAGTGCTCTCCCCGCCCCCCAGAGCTGGTTCCGGAGTGTATCTCAATGGTCCTCGTGTCCTTGCAGCTTAGCATCCTGAAGGAAGCACATCAGGACGAGCTGGGCCGCATGTCCGAAGACCTAGAGGATGAGCTGGGTGCGCGGTCCAGCATGGACAGGAAGATGGCTGAGCTGAGGGGCGAGGTGAGGTGGCCAGCAGGGTGGGGGGGTTGGGGAGGTGTGGGTCCCATGGGTCCCACCCCGCCCCATCATCTGGTCACTGGGAGGAGAGCAGGAGCCGGATCTGGGCTCTGAGGGTGCCCCCATCTGCAGGGAGGGGCCCTTTCCCACACAGGGACCAGAGTGGCCCTCACATCCTGCACACCGTGAAAGAATCCCAGCTTAATTATAGCAGCTGCAGCTGGATCTACTTCCTGGCGCCAAAAATGGCTGCAGGAGGAGGCGGGTGCGTGGCCCTCGGTGCCCCCTCCCCCGGGAGTCTCACTCCATCCTGCCTGGTTGCAGATGGAGAGGCTGCAGGCTGAGAATGCAGCCGAGTGGGGCCGCCGAGAGCGGCTGGAGACCGAGAAGCTGGGCCTGGAGCGGGAGAACAAGAAACTGCGGGCACAGGTCGGGGACCTGGAGGAGGCACTGGCCCGGCGACGGCGGCAGACGACCAGCGCCCTGGACTGTGACCTGCGGGCCAGCCAGGCCGCACTCTTTGAGAAGAACAAGGTGGGCAGGGAGTAGAGCAGCCAGGGCCTTCCCGTCCAGCCCCTGGTAAATTACAGGTTAAGACTCTCATCCAAAACTGTGCAATCGAAAAGGCTCAAAAATCCAAGAGTTTGTGAGCACCAGCGTGATGCCACAACATGACCCACACCTGACGCGTGATGGGTCACAGTGGAAGTGTGTGTGCACCAAGAACGTTGTATAAAGTTACCTTCCACCTCTGTGTCCAAGGTGTGCATGAATCCTGAGTTTTGTATCTAGGCTTGGGTCCCATCCACCAGCTATTTTATTGTGCAGATGCAAGTAGTTTAAAACCCAAAACCCTTCTAGTCCCAGGAATGTTGGATAAGAGATGCTCGAGCTGTAGCTGCATTTATTGAGCACCCACTGTATGCTAGGTCATCTGGTAATCACAGCGGCAGCATTTACTGAGCGCCTCCTGTGAGGTTAAGCCCCGTGATAATTATAGTAGTTGCACGTACTGAGCACTTGCTGTGTGCTGGGGAAACAGCAGTGAGCAGACAGATTGGCCTCTCCCTCCTCTCCTCATGGAACGGATGGCTCAAGGGGCCTAGAGACCGCTCTCTCTGTCTCACATGCTTGTACTGATCACTTGGCTCCATGGTTGTCACAGGAAGAGGGAAGACTGAGGGTTTAGCCTACATCCAGGGTCCTGGACAGGCTTCCTGGAAGGAGTGACATTTGATATTAACTGCTGGTGGCCTCGCTTGGGAAATCACATGAGTGAATGTCCTGTGGAAGAGGACAAGGAGCTTTGGAGAAGCAAGAAGGTCAACATGGCTGTCTGGAGGCAGCAAGGGCTGATGGAGACCGGGACTGGGCCAGGCTTGGGGGAAATGGACTGGACTCAGGAGGCCTCTAGACAGCATCATCCCCACTTCACAGATGGGAAAACTGACAAATTCCAGAGCTCAAGGCTGGGCGTTTCCTCTGTTGGCTGCTGCCCCTCTTGCCAGCCACTCTGACCTCTGATCTCTTTCTTCCCACAGCATTCCTCAGCTTAGTTTGTTCCCATACTCAGCACTTCAAATGCCAGGGATTTGTTACCAAAGACCCCAGACCTCCTTCCCCATACACGTCCTGCACCAGCTCCAGCCACCTGTTCACACTCAGTCACATCCCAAGTCGAGCCGCTCTCCCAGCCTTCTCACCCCAATAAGTGACACTTGTAGCCCAGCCACTCCCCGTATCTTAGTGTTGGTGTTTTGGACAGCAGGGGGACGATCCCGGGGAGAAGAGACATCCAACATCCCAAGTGCCGCCTGACCTATGGGACTCCCTGGTGTGGTGCCCAGGTGACTGAGCCCTGTCTGTCCTTCCCCTGCAGGAGCTGGCAGATCTAAAGCACGTCCATGGCAAGCTGAAGAAACAGTTCCAGGAGAAGGTGGCTGAGCTGGCCCATGCCAACCGGCGGGTAGAGCAGCACGAGGCTGAGGTGAAGAAGCTGCGGCTGCGGGTGGAGGAGCTCAAGAAGGAGCTAGCCCAGGCCGAAGATGAGGTAAGTGTCCCCTTGGGGCCAGGGGAGCAGCCTGTAAGGCCACCCACGCTCCGTGCTGGGACCACAGTTCCTGACAAGGCTGGATTCCCAGGAGGCACCTGGGATAAAGGGAGCCGGCGGGTGGCAGCTGGGTGCTAGGGTAGGTGTGGGGGCAGGAGGAGGGGGAAAGCTGGCCAAAGTGAGAGAGCGGGCGAGTGGATGAATGGGTGCATGGGAGGGTGTTGAGACAGTTGAATGGAGGACAGAAGGGGGACTCCGTGGATGAGTGAACAGATGGATGCAGGAGTAGGTGGGCAGATGGATGGGAGAGGGAGGGAGGAAGGAAGATGGATGAATGAGATGTAATGGCAGATGTCCGCTGGCTGGAGGGAGAGACGGGTGGATGATGGGTGTACAAACACATGGAAAGCAGGATGGGTAGATAGTGGGCAGATGGACAGACAGACTGCAGGAGTGTGTGGAAGAGTGAGTGGGGCGTGGAGGGGCAGGTGGACAGGCAGATGAGTGGGTGCAGATCGGGTAATGCGTGGCGAGGGTAGGTGAGTATCTCCATGGCTAAGCAGACTGGTGGGAATAGTTGGTAGGGGGTGGGTGGCTGGACCAGTGATTCAGGGCATTGGGGGATGGGTAGTTTTGGAGGGGACACCCCAGGGTCAGAGAGAAGGAGCAGAAGAGATGCTACTTGGACAAGATGGCTTTGGCTAGGTCCCAGGAGCAGAAGCCCTTGAGGGACACAGTCTCAAGAGTGGAGCAGGAGGAATAGCTGGGCTTCTGCTGCCCTTGCCCTGGTGACCCATGTGCTCTTGGTCCTGCTCACCACAGCTGGATGAGGCCCACAACCAGGCGCGGAAGCTGCAGCGGTCACTGGATGAGCAGACAGAGCAGAGCGAGAACCTGCAAGTGCAGCTGGAGCACCTGCAGTCCAGGTGGGCCATGGGGATGCCTTCAGGGGAGTGGGGGCTAGAGAGGGGGCTTCCATGGTCCGGGTGCTACCCAAGAAACTTCTGTTGGAGATGGAGCCTCCAAGAAGGCCAGAGGGGAGGATGGAGAAATAGAAGATCCTGGGGACAGAATCTTGTCCCCTCCCGGAGGAAGGACCAGGGCCAGGAAACCAGAAGTCAGGTGCAGGAAGCCAGACCAGCTGGGGAACCTGGAATTGTCTTCTTTAGCAGGATGGGGGCAGCCAAGGAGGTCAGGCCTAAGACGTGGGGCAGCACTCTGGGAGTTGTTGGCAGGGAAAACCAGCAGCCCCAGTCTGGTCAACTTAATGACTTAGCAAGACCCTGTCTAAAAATAAAAAATTTGAAAAAGGGCTGGGCATGTAGCTCAGTGTGATGCCCTGGATTCAATCTCCAGTTATGCAAAAAAAAAAGAAAATAACAGGCAGTTCTCAGAGTTGTAGGCCTCCAGTCACCCAGAACAACAGGGATCGGGAAGGCAGAAGCCCCACCCGATTGGCAGGCCAACCCCTCAGCTGCTGGCCATGGCAACCTCCATGGCAGAACCACAGGGTCTCTGGTTGACCCCCCCACGTGCTCCACCTGCTCCCACCATGTATGGATCATGCCTTTTCTCCGCACTCCCCCCACACCAGGAGATAGCAGAGAACTTCAGGTCTGAGCCCTCACTGCACAGCTGGGAAGCCTGGTGCCGCAGGCCCCAGCACTGACTGACTTCCCTGCACCCAGCTCTGGCCAAGCCCTCACTTGCCTTTCTTACCTTTGCAGCCATACCACCGGGGTGATTTTGGCACAGTAAACAGCTCTGGGTCAGTTCCCCATCTGTAAGATGGGGATGATAATAAATCTCACCTCTTGGTCATTGTGAGAATTAAATGAGCTGATTCACGCTTGTAAAACTGTCGGAAAAGCTGGGCATGGTGGTACACACCTGAAATCCTAGAACTTTGAGGTTGAGTTAGGAAGATCACAAGTTCGAGCCTGGCCTGCACAACTTAGTGACTTAGTGAGACTCTGTCTCAAAATAAAAAATAGAAAAAGTGGGGGGCTGTTGTTCAAGGTAGAGCACTTGCCTAGCGTGCACAGAACCCTGGGTTCCATCTTCATTAATGGAAAGAAATTTAAAAAAAGAAAGGTGGGGGACTAGGGATATAGCTCAGTGCAAAAGCCTGAGTTCAATCCCCAGTACCACAAAAAAAAAAAAAAAAAAAAAAA